GGTTCAGCACTGACTTAGAAAGAAGCGTTTTTAAGCAAAAGATTTGGTTCAGAAAAAAAGAGGAGCTGAAGGACTGTAGAAACACTTTGCAGCAAAGCCCACATCCACCGGCTGGCTTTATGCCAAGGACCGGGCCGTACTTTTCAAACCAAACAAAACTACCAGAGTAGTCACAGGTGACGAAGCCTTCGCCCAACATGCTCCAGAGCTGGACGCGCTCTGAGGCGCTGAGGCCCAGGACACAGCTGGGTGAGTACGCTACCTGGTCCCCAGCCCGCTGGTCAAGAGGGAGCCCTCCAGCCATCAGTCCCTACCTTGCTCTGCACAAGAAGCCACCAAAGCTTGAATAAGCCAAGACCACTAAACCCAGCTTGCATTTTTCTCTCCCGTTTCTCCTGCCTTTTCTCAACTTTTCGGTTCGACTTCTGACAAGAAAGCACGCTGCCCCACAAAGGCTTGGAAAGGATGTCTTTTAAAAGCAAGGCGCTGAACAAATCTTTGCCGTGTTATGGAAATACCACCTCCCGCCCCCTCCTTGAAGGCGAATGAAAGCCAGCCAGCTGCCATCGGACATCCGACCTCTGCCTGGGCTCTGCTGGTGGCTGGCTTTGGAGCCCAGGAGGTGGCTTCCCAGGCTGGACTCGGGGCGAGGACCACATTCATACAGTCATCGCCTGGCGCAGGAGGCTGCTCTGGATCCCCGCTCGGTTTCGGAGCTTTCTACCAGCCGCCTGATGCCAATTAAGCGTGTGTAGGCAGCAACAGCACAGTTGAAAGGGGGAGAGAGTGAAAACACTGGCTGAAATACCAGGGATGCTTCCCACGCTTTTCCTGAAGCGTGACATGCAGCTCTTTTCCGCACCATCCCTAGAAGAAACCAGAAGAGACCTCGACCCAACAAACTAACTGACTCCGCAGGCGAAGGTAATGCCCGGTCTGAAAACTAAGAGCCGTCTCAGCACCACGTTGCATCCCAAGACTGCCGCATTTTGGCACCGAAACGCTCGACGTCGCAGGCCGCCTGCACTTCTCGCTTCCCTGGCCCATGCACTTACCAGAACGGCCTTCAACCAACTCACCAGCTGTCGGGAAGGCGGAGGAAGCGGAGAGGGAGGGAGGAACAACGTAGGCTTTTGCAGCCGCTTCCCTCGCTAAAGTCTGCGCGTCCGCTTCCCTTCTCTCCCATCCTTGAAGCCGAATAAAACTCTTATTAAAAGCCGAGCGCAGTATTGCGCTGTTCAGTACAGAAATAAGACACGGCCGTAACACGGCAGCCAAGACTAATGGCCCAGTGCAGGCAATATGCCATGGAGCTCCCAGGCAAAATTAGCAATTTTATTTTCACTTGGGTTTAAGAGGACATCCTGCGTCCTTCCGCAGGGGGACAACGGGCCGAGTCCACCCCGCAGACCTCTGCCAGCAAGCACTGTCGGGCAGCGGCGGGCTGCAAGACAGCCTGCGACCAGCTGCATATCGTGGCACAAGCCCCAATCCAGGAAAGTACCTTAAAAAATGCCAATTTTGGACCTCCTGGTTGTTTTGAAGGGGCGCTGCGTGCCAACACCCTGCGCGCTCGCCTCTGCAATCAGTTAGGAGACCACGTGAGGAGCAGAAGGGGAGCGCCGCTACGTCGGCAGCATGCGGGACTATCTAAACGCCAACACAGGCGCCGGGGCGTTCGTTTGAGGGAGAACGCGCGCCCAGCGGATGCACAACTGACAGGAAGAAAAAGAAGGTAATGGACCCCCGCCCCCAAAAGACAGCAGACTTTTGGTGGGAAAGGGCGAATACTGACAGCGAAAGCATGTCCTCGGCTCTCCCCGCCGCCTGCCGGGGAGCAGGTGGCTGCCCGCAGAGCAGCCCGTGGCCTTCCTAGGTCAAGGAAGGTAAGAGCAGGACCGTCCACATGCAAGTCGAGCTGACCGCTATGAAATCCTTTCGCCCTCCCTTGCCGTTCAAAACGCCGAGCGTCTCGCTTTCGTGACGTGCAAGTCGCTCAAACCAACACGCCGAAGCAGAAGGAGGGACATCCTTTGAAGGACGTCTGTGCTGCAATTAGTATTGCCGTGCCACCCTAGCTATGTAGGCAACAGCTTATGGCTACTTGACCAGTGATGACTTCCCCCAGTATGGGCCACCTGGATTGTTTTGTTTTATTTTTATTTTGAAATCACAAAACCACAGAAGTTTCTCTTCTAGGGGTAGAAGCCCCAGATTTGAACCTAGAAATTGACTGTTGACTATTTAGTAGCATCTCAGCCTTGACTTTTTTGTCCTAGAGCGAGACAGCTGCCCACACGCTGCGCCGCAACCTACAGTAATAACACATGCTTAGAGAGGATCCTTTGTGACGGTCGCTTTACTGCGCCGCTCTGCGCGTAGGACTCTAGCGAGAGCAAGCCTTTTTCAGACTCCTTCTTGGTGGCCATTGCCCAAGATGTTTCTGCTAGGGGTAAGTTTTCCACGTTTCACAGCTCACAGTTTTTAATACTGCTGTTAATTCATCCTTTTACCAAAGTGCTGGTGAGCCCGGCATCACGGGTACCAGGCAATACGCACAGTCGAGCGTGAAGGCAGCGCTGGGACCGGGCTGGCATATGCCTTGCCGGGCATAGGTTTCTGCTTGTGCCTTGATTTCTCCGGTCAAGATAATTACTTGTACTTCTGACCCAAATCGTTTGCCTTTCCTCTTGGTGTGTGTGTGTGGGGGTCTTTCTTGGAGCTTTACTGGTGCTGGTACATGTTCCTCATCTTCTGCTGGCATCTATTTCTGTGATTTCAGGCAAGCCCTATCTTAAAAAATTGGAATAATACTGTCGCCAGATGAGCCGCTTACCGCCTACTTCCCGTCGCCTGTCTCTCCCGGCTTCCTTTTCTTCCTGAACTCTTCACGTGGGCATTTTGTCTGCCAAAGCAAAGCCTGCGACTATACCCCCAATTAGTTAGGCTAACGTGGGGAAATCCCGCGAGGACTCGTTGCAGGTGCTGGCAGACGTTAGGGCCCAGCTTTCAACAACTCTCGGGCCTTGCGTTGACTTCTTAACTCCCTTTTTCTTTTCTCTCATAACACTTGGCACATCCGGCCTTTGCACGAGGCAGAAACCCAACCCAGCATCTCACGCTACAACCTCACAGCGTCCCGCTGCGGCAAACATGGAGCCAGCAAGTCTGAGAGCCGGGCTGACGTTTGCTCAACCTCTCCATCGCATGCGTGGTTTTTGTCTCTATACGTGTTGCTAAACCACTGAAATAGCAGCCTGAGAAGGGCTTCGCGGTCTATCAGTCATTAAACTAATCAGAGCTACTATTTCCGGTACTTGTGACTGCTCAACTCCAGCTATTCTGGACCTCCCACATGACTTTACATCTCACTGGGAATCCTATGGATTTAATTATCGTAATTACAGGCAGGTCCCTATAGGCAGGCTCAGTTCCACCTTCCCTACCGAGGAGCGACACTCCAACAGAGACAGCGGCTGACGTCTGCCCCTGAATTGGGACGTTCGGACGTTGACTTCTGATCCGGCAGAAGCTTTACGAGTTGGGAACGACGGTCGGGTTTTGTACCTTTGGGGGGGTCGCGCTGGCAGAAGCTGCTTCAGCCGCGTTGCGCCGGTACGCGCTGCCCGGAGCGCGGGTGCGGGGTCCCAGCTGGCGCCGACCTAACTCGCGGCCTTGCAGAGAAACTCTCGAGACCACCTCCTTAAGGCTTTGTGGATCTCCAGGACTCGCGAATACTTCCTGTTTTCAGCTGCTAGTACATCAGCCCCCGCTCTTCTGGTTTCACGCCCCGATTACGGGAGCTGCCCTTTAGCCAGCCTTCCTGGTTCGATGATAAACGACTTAACCACTTTGCCACGAGTCCAAAACACACACGGGATTTTTCTCTCTAACGTGTCGCGTACGCCGTTACGAGCTGACCTCTGGGATTTCGGTGCAACTTGAGGGGATGTTTTCGTCCTGCCTGCCGACGTGGCGCGTACAGCCGGCGATCGCCAGTCCGCCTCCAGGACGAACCCAGCGCTCCTGGGGGGGCCGCGGCTACCAAACGCCCGTTACAACACCGTCTGGCTCCTCGTCAAACCTAAGCAACCTCCCGCTGCGGCGGATATTTCAGCTGCAACCGCGAAGCTGCGCAAAGATTTAATTCTTCTGGTCGTGTCACTGCTGTCCGCCGCTTCCCAGGCTGAAAATGCTATTTAAGGAGCAAATAAAAATCCTCATATTTTCCGCTCTTTACGGCGCTTCTGGCCGATACCTACGAAAACAACGTATTTCTGGCAGAGATTAATTAAGAGCAAAACTTCTCTCAAGGAAGAGTACGCCCTGAGGCACAGGAGCTCCCCTGGGCCGGGAAGCACGTCCCACGCCGGGCTGTGCGCCAGCCCCCGGCAAGCTCCTCGGCTCTCGGCGGCTGGCAACCCCCGGCCCCTGCCCCCCACGGGGACAAAA